GGACGCCGCCAGTGGCGCCCGGAATCGGCCGACACCGTGCGACGCGCGCCTTCGAGAAGCCGCAGTGCAGGGCTGAAAGGGGGGATCACGCGCGTCGCCAGCGACGGGATCGCTCACGTGGAGGCCTGCACCCGTGAAGCGGGCAGGGCCCTTGGGGCGCCGGGGGCCCCTCCCGCCTGCGGGGGCGGAGGGGCGGAGGGCTACACTGGTCCGCGCGCCGCTCCGGGGCATGCGCGTGCTGAGGGGCGGCACGAGCGCGGATGGGCCTCTCGATTCGGTCGGCCAGTCCAACAAAAAACAACAACAACAAAACAAAAAACAAAAAACAAAAAAAAAAAAATAAAAAAAAAACGTTCAGGCGTTGAGCGAGCCGCGCGGTGCCAGGAACCACCGCCCAGGCCGCCACGAGCTTGACGCACCCACCGTGCCGGAGCCCGGCCCTGACCAGGTGCGGCCAGCCTGCGGTGCACGGGTGCTTTCTTCCCCCCTCCCCCCCGGCTCGGCTCCGCACGAGAGGGGCCCTTCGCCGGAAGGAGCTCCGCGGTGCAGGCCCACGGGGGGCTCCCCCAGGCAGTGGCTTGCGCGCGCACGGATGTGGCACCCCCGCAGCCAACCCAAACCCTCGGCCCGCAGCTTCCGCACCTTCCGCGCCAGGTGCCGCGCTGCCGCGGCCGCCGCCGCGGCCGCAGCGGCGGCGGATGCGCCGTCGAGGCCAGAGCGGCGGCCGCCTCAGCCGCACCGCGGCGGCACCTTGCGCCCGGAAGGTGCGGAGGGTGCAGGTCGAGGGAGGGAAGGCCGCGCACCAAAGGTCACCTCTGCCTAGGGGTGAAGTCGGGCATGTTCCTCTACAGGAGGAAGATTTCCACAAATGGCCAACGAATAACCCGGAGAAGCAATTAAGAACCCCCCCGGCGTTATCATTAGCACCGCACAGTAATTAAATAATTATTTGGGGGATTTTCGCCGAACGATATAATTAGCACCGCGCAAATGAAAGGAACATAGATCATTCCTGCGCCCCGCCTTGGATGGCATCCCAATTGGAATTGTAATAAGAATAAGAATGCGAATAAGAATGATAATACGAATAAGAACAATAATAAGAATCAGGCGAGTGTTACAGGTACTGCTGACACCGTAACTGTTATTGCTACCGTGATGACGATGATGATGCTGATGACGGCGATGGTTTCGAAGCGGCCTGGGCAGGCGACCGGAACTCCAGCCTGGCAAATCTGGCAAATTCTATTAAGATATGTGAAGTTGTCTCAGGCGATTTGGCCAATTCTGTTAAGAAATGTGACACTGTCTCAGACGATTTTGCAAATGCTAATAAGAACTGCGAGGATGTCTGAAGCGATTTGGCCAATTCTATTAAGAAATGCGAGGATGTCTCAGGCGATTTGGCCAATTCTATTAAGAAATGTGAGGATGACTTAGGCGAGTCGGCCGATCCGCCTGGTCGCCGTCGCCGTCGCCGTCGCCATCGCCGTCTCCTCCTCCTTCTCCTCCTCCTCCTCCTCCTCCTAGCCACAGGTGCCAGAATAACGCTTCCAGGGTGCGGGACGGTTATCGTTTCGCCGGAAGGGGGGGGGGGGGTCCTGTAATTGTTTCTTCGGGTTAGACCAGGGAGAATTGCTTGACTATGTCCTGCTGCGTTCGAATCTGTTTTGATTGTTTATTATTGCGAAGGCCTTACGGCCGTTGCCGCCGACCCTGAAGATGACGAAAGACAACACGAGGGGGGGGGCAGGAGGAGGAGGAGGAGGAGGAGGAGGCGGAAGGGAGTAGGAGGAGGAAGGGTGAAGGGGGAGGAGGAGGAGGCCTTATGGATGTTGGTTGGGATCTCGTGGTTGACCTCTCGGGGGCGTCTGGAAGGCAACTTGAAGCCTCTTGGGGGCCGTTGTGGGGCCGTTGTGGGGCCTCTTTTGGGCCTCTTGGGGCTTCCGGAGGCCGTCTTCGGCGCATCTTGGGGGCGTCTTGGCGCCGCTCCGGGGCCTCTTGGGGCCTTTTGGGGGCCTCTTGGGGCTTCCCGGGGGCCTCTTAGGGCGGAAGTCTCGAATTCTCGGTTCCTCGTCCCCCTCTTGGCCGTTTCTTGGGCCCGGCTTGGGGCCCTATTGGGCCGTCTTGGGCGCCTCTTAGGCTGTCCTGGGGCCTTCTTGGGCCGTCTTGGGGCCCTCTTGTAGGCCTCTTGGGGCGCTCTTGGGGGCCTCTTGGGGGCCTCTTGGGCCGTCTTGGAGTGTCGGAAAGCCGAAAAGGCGAGAAGGCCAAAATCATTCAAAAACCGATGTAAAATTAACGATTTTGGCGCCTGGGGCCCTCTTGGGTGTGCTCTTGGGGCTCTCTTGGAGCGTCTTGAGGGCCTCTTGGGCCGTCTTCGGGCCGTCTTGGGCGTCTTGGGGCCATCGTTCGTCGAGTCGAGGCCCTCTTGTACCCTTTTGGGGGTGTCTTCTGTCGCTCTTGGCTCGTCTTGAAGCTTTTCTGAGCTCCGGGACCCCCCGGGGAGGATGCGTATCTGGGTGGCGACCCCCCCGGGGACCCCCCCCGGCGCCCCCCCCCCCCCCCTGGCGGGGAGGGTAGGGAGGGCCTTCGCCACGACTCAACTACGACGTTGCTCAATGTCGCTTTGGCTCGCGCGCTCAAGGAGACGGGGAACGACGAAGACGACGAGGGACAACGGAGACGGAGACGACGAGGACACGACGGAGACGACGACGACGACGACGACGACGACGACGACGACGACGACGACGGTGATCCACGCAAGACGACGACACCGGGATGCGTCTTCCACACGCCGACAGGGTCGGCGGATTTCTCTTCCCAGATCCCACATGCCCGACCTGAGCCTAGGGGTCGCTCTTGCACGTGGCCGACTGCCTCAGGGGCGGCCCAGCCGGCCCCTTCCGTGACGTGCCCCTCGCCTCGCCCCAAGACGTCTGTATGGGGCCGGGGGAGAGCTCGACGGGCGAGAATGACGTCACGGAAGGGGATGGCTTGCTGGGGGTTGCTTAGGCCGCGACCGATTGCCTGCGCGCGGCAGCGCCTGGCTCTCCGCCCGCCCGCGGCGATCGCGCGCGCGCGGCCATCGCCCCGCGCGCGCAGGCGCGGGCGCGCGCGGCGATGCGCCCGCAGCCGCGGCGCCGCACGCCGCGCACGCCCCGGCGCGCGGCAGCAGCCGCGGCGCCGCCGCGCCCATGCCGGCCGCTCGCCGACGACGTCGACGACGACGACGACGACGACGACGCTCGGCCACACGCAAGAGTGGACCTTCGCCTTTGGGTTGCGGGCTTCGGGCGTTGCGCAAGCAGTGCCCCAGGGCGTTACTTAGAAGGTGCACCGTATGGAGCCCTAGAGGGGGCCCCTGGAGCCCCAAGGGAGCACGAAAGGTGCACATGTCTTCGGCCCCCCCCCCCCCTCGATCGCCCCCTCATTACGCAAAGCGGGCTCGCCGGGGTCCCCCCCTGGCGCTGGCCCGCGCGCCCGAGTTTGGGCGTCCCCGCGGCCCCCCCGAAGCCGCTCACCAGGAGCCGCTCTGGCCTGCCCCCGACCCGCACCCTCCGCGCGGAGCGTGCCGCCGCGATGCGTCCGCGGCGGCGCGGCACCTGCCACTCGGACGGTGCGGACCCAGACCCCCGGCGCTCCGATGTTCTCGATGCGCGGGACCGCTTCCCCAGGGCCAGCCCCTCCTCCCGAGCCCTTCTTTGGCGGTCCCGCCCCGGGTCCCGCAGAGGGCCCCTGGAGGCCGACACGAGCCCAAGCCCGCCCGCCCCGATGTTTCCCGAGCATCGGAGCTCCGCGGAAGGCGCAGGCAGGTCCAGGGTACGGTAGGTTCGTGCGGCGTTGGCGCGCCGGAGACGCCAGCGGAGGCGTTCCAGGTTGAGCTCCGCATGGCGGAACGACGCGGGAGCACCGAGGGGTACGGTAACGCCACTGGACCCGACGGAATCCAACTTTGAACGATTTAGCGGGCGAAGAACGGTATAAAATATACTTTCTCGCCTTCGGGGGCGCCTGCCCCTGGGCGGCGGGAAAGTTTATACCCCTACGGTGCCACCGTAAGGGTATAAACTTTCCAGCCGCCTTGGGGCAGGTGTCCCCGACGGCGCAAAAGTTTATGTTATACCGTTCTTCGCCCGTCGAACGATAGGGGCCGCGATCTTCGATTCAAGGTTGAGCGATCGACGCGGTGTCGAAGAACCTTTGCGCGCGCCGACGCTTGTACTGATAGCCTTGTGTGGTGTGCACGGCCTGTTATTGGGGCATCTCTAGTGGAGGTCGTCTGGTTTTGACACGTCGGCATTGCGTTCTAAGAACATAGTCTTCGTTATTGAAAAGCTGTCTTTCCGAAGGTCGGATCACTCCTTGCGCGCTGCCGAGGCCCCCGACGTCATGATTTGTTTCATGACGTCGACCCCCAGAGGTCTCGACCCATTCCCCGGGGCCAGTTTCTCATCCTGAGTCGTTTTCTCACGGCCCCGAGGGCCGGCAAGGGTCCCCAGAGGCCGAAAATACAGAAAAAACATCCGTCGTGATTTTTTCATGACTCGAGGGGGTCTGGGAACACAGTGTGGTCACCACACCCTCTTGGGACAGATCCGCTCACGCAGCTGACTTTCCCGGTGCCTCCCGGCGCCGGCGTATCGAGGAAAGGTGTCGTCCAGCGGCGGGGCCGAAGCCAGCTGCGCGTGCAGCAGTTTTCGCACCCGGCCCCTCGCCAATCCCCCTCTCCCTCTTTGCAAGGGGCCTCGGGCCACACAAATAAAATAGGCACAAATCCCAGGATCCCCCATGTTTCCCCGCATCTTCTGGGTTTTCGTCTTTCCCCCCCCCCCCCCCCACGTCCCAAATGTTCCCCCTCTTTGCCTGGGGGTCGACGATTCATTGTGTCTAGGTTTTTTCTTTGCCCCCCCCCATCCTGACTCTCGTCCGGCCCGACGCTCCCCTTTCCGAAAGGCCACCCTCTTCACCTTCGGCGCGGGGGCCCTGGGCGAGCTGGGCGTGGCGCGCGCGCGGCAGGCGGGGGGCGGCACGGGCACGGCGGCGCCTGGCGCGGTGGCCTTCCCCGAGGACGCGGGGGCCGAGGCGGAGGTGCGCACGCAGAGGGGCACCCAGAAATCCAACCAGGAGCAAGGAGGAGGAGGGGGAGGAGGGGGAGGAGGGGGAGGAGGAGGAGAAGGAGGAGGATTGAAAAAAACAAAAAGGAGGAGGAGGAGGGGACTGCGTGGCGGAGGAGAGCGCGGAGGAGAGGATCTGACGGGGGAGGCTGGACGAGAACGGAGGATTAAAGAGTAGTAGAAAAGTAGGGATGTCTGAGAACAAGCGTCTGAGGAGTCATGGATTAGGCCTGGAGCTCTGATATTTTTGGCCCCCTCCCCACACCCCAAGAA